ATTTCTCCTTGGCTCATAACCAAGTCTTGCTAATGCTGTGTTCTCTAGTTCTTCCTAATGCTGATGAGATAAGGAACAAACAGATCAATGCTCTCATTGTGCTTACGGGGAAACCAACAATCAGGAGAGAGGACTGAATTCCCTGAATCCTAATTATATGTGAATTTGCTAGAGTATCCCTCTATATTGCTCCAATTTATGAACAATCAGTAAGAAAAACATGAGGAAAAAAAACAAACAACAGTGTAAATTATAGAAAAAATGGACAGTAAAATATGACAGTATATCATTAAGGAATTCTAGTTGTTCCCTGCTTTGGACTCTGGACATTCGCAGTTCATAAATCACATGTCAGATCTCACCTTCACTCCTCTAAAAAATTCTCAAGTTTTAAATAACTAGAAAAAAAAAAAAATCTTATTTCACTGAGATTACCTAACTACTACCATGTGTACTACAGAAAGGAGAGAAACCTTGATACTATCTCACAGTAAAGTTAATGCCAGGTTTTGCTATTGTCCCTTATATGAAGGGAATTTGAAATAGATCTATCAGCCTTTTGATGCTAGTGAACTACTCAAACTAATTTTGGATCAATTTCCCATCCAGCTGCAAAACTGACTGAAAATGGAAACAAGAAAACATAACATAAAAGGAAAACTAAGATTAAAAACTGAGACAAAAGGTCTAAAGAATGGTTTAAAGTATCCTTTATTTTCCAGACGCACAGTAGTTTAGGAATTTCTTGCTCTGACGTGTAAAAATATAAAAAAGAGATCAAGTACAGCAGTCCATGGCACATGCGTATTGTGCAAATTCCTCTATTTTTCTCTGACATGTTTGATTGCTGTCCACTGCTTACAACATACTTCTAATACAAAGGAACTCAGTTTAGTAGTCTATGTTGTTCACCGTGGGCTGTTTTGCTAAAAAGAGATACACTTGGGGACTGCCTTATTTCTTTTGTTATTTTTAAATTCCCTGGGAAAATGCAGGCTCTCAGTTCAGGAAAATGTATAACATCGTTGAAGCTGAATACAGGAAGTTCCTATGCTTTCAGGAACTACACATTTGTTTTTTTAATAATCGTACTTTTGCAGATACATTACACAGAAAGAAATTTCAGGCTCTTGATTTCTGATAATTGCTTTCAACATGGTAACACTGGTAAAAAAAAACAAATGATTTAAAAAGTGTTGTTTAATCCCAATTTTTCTGCCGGCTGTATTATAAATGAAAGATTCTCCAGAATAAAAGTCTTGTACTTCTGATCCTTCCTTATATATAAAAAAGAACAGCCTTGTGCCATCCTCAGTGATAGCAAGTGACAGGCAGAGAATGACATCACTCTTTATATTTAACTGCCTGCCTTCTGGTGAATTTATTTTGCTGTCAAATATTACAACAGTGTTAGTCACATTCAGGCTTTACAGAAACAGAATCATTTGCTGAGTTTGACCCCAGAAGGCAACAGTTCTTCCCTTCTGAAAGAGAGAATATTTATTTCCAAATTTGCATCAGTGGCTTGCCTCTGCAGATGGATTACTAGGAATGTCTTAGAGAAATGCTAATATGTGTCAAAGGTCTACAACAACCAAAAGCATCCATGTGAATTTTGCCATTACAGTTACACTGAACACAGACTCAAAGAACAGGCTAATCATCTGCAAACATAGCAAACCCTGTTCTCAAGAACACAAGTCAGCAGCTAATTTGCTACAGGTATTTAATTAGACATGCCACAAGTTTGAGACCAGCAGGTTTAACAGCTTCTACATTCCTATTACCACTAATATCACTTATCCTCCTATTATCGCTACATATCCAATGCCTAAAATAGGACTGGGTTAGTAAGTTCACTGCCAGAGAATGCAAGTTAAAGATGTGTTTCCATCCTTGCACAGAGTGAAAGCCTTTAAGGTGAGGAAACAGAGAAACTGGCCCAAGAGAGCAGAATCCAGTGCAGATCATGTTTATGCTACCTTTTCTCCACCGCCTTTACATATCTATTTGCTTTTTGCCATCCACTAGATTATCTTTTGAGTTCCCTCTAAGGGGAACACTGTCACTCATTATTCAAGCACATTGTGGCATTAATTACTATCACATCAGCAATTTTATTACTAAATAGTGCTGCTACCAGTAGAAGTCCAAGTTTTGTATGCAATGCTCTCATAAAAAAAAGAACACAGAAGTTTGGTCTCTTTCTTGTCCTTTCTAACACTCCCTCTCCAAATTACTCATTTCAGGTAACTGCTACCACACATGAAGTCTGCAACAGCACATACACAACTTAAAAGCACAGAACAATTATTTATTAGTTAATTCACACAGTAGCTAGGATTAGCCACTAATACACTTTTCTCCTTTAGAAAGTCACCTGATAGGTCTTCAATCAGTCATCGATCAGAAGAGAAGGGTTAGCCTTGTTTCCTGCAATATGCTAGCCCTTAGTCTTGCTGTTTCTGTTCTTATTTTTCTCTCAGAAAAAAATTAATATCTTTTCATGCTTACCTTTTTCAACCTGAAGCTTTAATTTGCTGATTTTGTTTCAACAATTTTACTTTTATTCCCAATTTTACTTTTCTTATCTTGTTTGCACAGTTCACAGTGCTTTCTCACAACCCTTTCTCACCATTTAGCAGATTTCTCAGAAGTCAGAACTGTTGTTCGGCTGGGCTGCATAAAAACAAGACTTGGGGTAACAGACAGCTAAGAGGCTGCACTCACCAAAGCTGAATAACACAGCATAGTGTATAAATTCTGAACAGTACTTGTTCTCCTAGCTTCCATTTAGGGTGTATGTTCTGGATGATATCTGCTTATAAATTACTCTGCTGTCACGGAGAAAACCAGCAATGTGCCTGTAAGGAAATACTCTTGTGGTGGTTTAACACTGGTGGGTAGCTCAGCAGCACCATGTTGCTCTCTTGCTCACTCCTCAAAAGGATAGGAGGATAAAACACAATGAAAACAAACAAACAAACAAAAAACGATAAGGAGAGGGAGATCACTCACCTATTACTGTTACGGACAAAACAGATTCAGCATAGGGAGATCAATGCAATTCATTGCTAATAATAACCTAGAACAGTGAGAACTGAAAGTAAACAGAAACACCTTTTCCCTATCCACTCTCTTCTACCTCCTCCTCCCCCCAAGTGGCGCTAGGGAATGGGTCAGTCCATAACGCTTCGTCTCTGTCGCGGTGGTCACTCTGCCCCTGCTCCACGTGGGTCTCTCTCACAACCCCGTCCTTCCCAACTGCTGCCACGCGGCCTTCCCACAGCCTGCAGCTCTCCCAGCACCGCCCCAGCACGGCTCGGTTCCGCTGGGCCCACCTTCGGGCACCGCTCCACGCGGGTCCCCGCGCTCGCGGCTCCCCCGGCCCTCCCGCCCCACGGCGTGTGCCGCGGGGGAACGGCCCGCTCCTCCGTGGGCCTCTCCCGTGCCGCAGGAGCCGCTGCCGTGTGCCCGGAGCTCCTCCCGCGCGACCTCGGCGCCCGCGGGGCCGTTCTCTCCCGTCTCGGCTCCCCTCTCCCGGCCGCCGTCGCGCAGCGCTTCGTCCCTTCCTTCCATCTGCTGTCGCAGAGCGCACCCGGCGTCGCTCGCGGCTCAGCTCTGGCAGTGGCGGTCTCTTTGGAGCATGTGGAGCTGGCTCTGCTCTCACACGGGCAGCGCTGGGCTCTGCTCACTGAGC